TCTTACTCAATACTATTTTGTCCACTCAGAGCTATTAGAACACATATCTTTATATTAAAAAATATAAGGTCTCCCTTTAGCGTGCTCATAGAAAAATACATTTTCTGCCAGGATAATTGAGTATCAATTTTTAACTCACAATAAATGCATTTAGGTGTAAAATTATTTGCATCAATAAGGAGGTAGTAATTTTCCAATCATATCTATCCAAGAACGCTAGATCATCATCAAGCACGGACAAGCACGTAAAGGTTTATTCGAACGGTTTCACTGTATCACAGTTTAAGGTTATTTGGTGGACCTTAATCCATGCCCAACTTTAGCCCATCGGTGCTTCTCTAACGGGCAATGGTTTCCATTCCATACTCCATGCAATTGATACGGGGGACTGTTTTTCAACCTGACTAACCGCACTCCTTCAATCTGTCACAATTTGATGAATACAGTTTCTTACGCATGAAATTATTGAACTTTCATAAGAATCTAGCTTCCCAATTGCTTTCCTTTCGAAGCATGTGAAAAGATACAGGGCATTGAGCGACCGATTGGGCTGGTCGACCTCAGTTGGTCGCACATGATTGAGACCGGCATGAGCAAGTCAGGCGAAGATGATGCACTTCGCGAAGCCTACCGCCGGATTGACGAGCTGCGGCACACTCATTATGCCAGCGATACATCCGAGACCAACCAATTTCCATACCTATTTGGTGATGATCCGTTGGCGATGTCGTTGTCTTCCAAACCCCTTTACGAAGGGATGCACACATCCTCCTTAACAGCCCCAGCTTCCGGCTACTTACTCACCGACCGAGGCACGTTCGTGGGTGATAACCAGCACAATCGAGCCTCTGGTTCTGGCAAGCCTTCTCTCAACCCTGCCCCTGGGAACAAGGAAAAGAATCTGGCAGCCGACAAAGCTTACGCCAATAACAAGGTGCTTTCCGGTGACGAGGATGGCCGCGCAAGAGCCGACATTGAAGAACTCGCACCCGTTAGCAGCAATCTGGTACCGACTTATCAATCCGAGCTGAACGGTCGCAATCTGCGCTGCTACCGACGACAGTTGATGGCCAGCCTCAGCCGACGCCTTGAGTTGCCGCTAATTCTGCTCACGGAGCCTAGCGACTGTCCGTCCACGGAACTGGCCGGTCTGGCAAATTGGTTTCCGGTGCCTGCAATCAACGCAAACTACCGGTACCATCCAGTCGACAGGCAGGGCGGTCCGAAGAAGCGACCGCTAAACGCACACTCGGGCATGAATTCAGGATCCGGATCCGGACCTGCATTGACGTCTGAGTCGACATCTGTCAGGAGGGTCAAGGCGATCAACTCACACGGTCTCATACTGTCTCTGGGCCCGAATTCCGAGCTTTTGGGCGACCTTGTGCGTGACATCATCCGACCGATGGAGGAGAGATGGAGGAAAATTGGAATCCTTTATGAAGAACCTTCGGGCGAGTTTTCCTAATTTTATTGCCACAGCCAGTGGCCTGTTGAGGCTATAAAGCAATACATGTTTCAATTCATGTTGCTCAAATTGACTTGAGGAATAATAGAATTGTTTTTCTCATGAATATTTAAGTAGGCCTCAAAAAATAATCATACCAAATATAAATACATGTGGCTGTCTTTACCACGTTAACACTTCGACTTATGTGTCTTCAATTATAATGATCCTCTGAGAAACTGGCCGAATGATGTAATAAAAGTCTTCTTTAAAGCTTTCTGAAAAGATCGTTCGATCAAATTAAATGTTGAAAGGCAGAGGAATTTCCATAACATGGTGGGCTCAATGCACAAGCTGGATGGAAGACAAATGTGTGCTATAGACGAGCTGATGAGTGAAAATACCAGACAGACAAGCGAAGTGCGATGACTGACTATTTAGCCGAAAATGGTTGCTATTTATTGTGGAAAACTAACCGTGCCAAAGTTATCCCGGTTTATCACACTTTTGTTCCGGCTACATAAACGATCCTGTTATGAGAGGAGCCAAAATAAAGAAGTAAAGACGGAGGGTGTTCACACATCCGAAATATTTTTTACCTGTGATACTTTGTACAGCTAACTTAAGAGGCTAGAGATTACAGGATGGATCAGAGTAAAATGTATAAATTTACCTTCTAGTGACTTGTCTCAACAAATAAACAGCATCAGATTGGGCATAGAGATAGTCACGAACCTTAAAATAATCGGAATTCTGTCACTATTTGGTATGAATACTCCACGAACCCCTCAAAAGAAGGGGATAAGCCCTGATTTATTAGAATAATCCACTGAGAATGGATCTCTACTAGGGCTTTATTGTATCGGAACCAGGTTGAACCGAAAAATGCAGCATTTATTGTATCAGTCTTTTAATCAACTTGACAAGTTTAACCATCAAGAAACATGGCTTCTCTGAATTTTTGTATATATTTTATAGTTGATGGGCACAAACAAAATATATTTTCCACCCCTTGGTCTACCCTATTTTCCATTCAAGCCTTTTTCCTCTTTTTCACCATTTAAGATAGCGGACCTATATCCTAATTTCTAAAACACAATTCATGTCGGGCCACCCTACTTTTGTGCTGTCTTTAATTATGTGAATGCCAAAAAACGCTCAAACCGGTTCATTTCCAAAGCCATGCTTAAAAATTGTCGGTATGTTAACATTTAACAAATCGGGGTCGACTTATTTGACAGACTTTAACTTGGATTTAAACTTCTCGTTTAGTACAAGAAGGTCCCGATAGTTTCGATACTGTCAAGATTATATAGATTCAGCCATCATTGTTCACATTTATTTTGGCTGGGCCTAATTTTCACATAATTTATTAATTAGCACTTCTTCCTTTCACCTCTCTCTCCTGTACAGGCTAGAAATTGCTCGATGATATTGGCATAAATGTGCCCTCCATTTCAATGGGCTTGATGATTAAAAGCATAAATTAAAAAAATTCGGGTTTCTAAGAATCTCCTAAGATAGGATATGGAAATATGAAGCATTTTATTTCGTATGGAAGTACATGATGACGAGATTCTTAGGTCAATTTCACAAGAAGAAGTCAGCTGCTTCGTGTTGTACTGCAGCCATTTGGTATTAATACGACATTCCGGCTGATGCAGTCCACGAGACATCCTCCAACATTTTGGGCCAAGATAGACTCAGCTTTCGTTCGTCATGTAACAAACATCCTCAAAGCTTGGACTCACTCTTTCAAAAGCCTCAAGTTAACACTCTTGATGTTAAGCATTTTTCTAATTACTCTGAGTTATGAACAGTTTTGCGTACAGACGTTAAAACACATATACACTTGAGTATACGTGAATTAACCTAAATTTTCTATATCAATATCTATAGAGAAACCGGTCAGTCTTCATGACTTAGTCTTAACTTGAAATTTTTGCAAGAATGGGTTCCAGCCC